AAAAAAAAAAGAAAAGACTTAAATGAACCAACTAGATATTGATTTAGTTATGTCAGCAAAATTTTTCTACAAAGAGTTAGATAGTAATGATAATTAGCTAGCAAAAGTCAAGCAGGTAGAACAATTTGCTAGTGAAACTTCCTCCAGTTCACATTAAAAAAAGAAAAAATAGTTTCCTTAGTCCTGTCTGATATAATCATTTTAATAGGTATAAAATTGTCAAAAAGCTTATGCATATATAGACACATTTACTTTGAACATAAATGAGATCACATTATAAATTAGTCTATAACCTATTTTTTCCAACTTAGTGATATACTTTGAAAATTAATCTACATCTCTATTATGGAAGTTATATATATTCCAAATTACTTATTTAGCTTTGATTCATATTAAAGTCATGACAATTATTTTACTAGGTACAGACCTTAGACATGTGTTAAATTTTAAACTACTGACATAAGATTTTGAGAATTCAAGGCAGTGAGTTGCTGAACATAAATATGTATAACGATAATGATAAAAATTTGAGAATTTGCACAAGGCTTGAAGGTTCTAACAACATAAAAGTAGCCAGGTTGTTTAGCGATCCTTTGGCAGGTTTGTTTTTACTCTATATTTTTTAAGTATGAAAGTGATTCTTGGCTAGTCTGTTTGTAAACTCTCATAGAGGATTTCAATTTATCCACATTGCTTTATCTTTGTAAATTATCTTTTACCTGAGAACAGGCTGTTTATTTATTTGATTTTCAAGGAAACCACTTCTCATGAATATTTGCTATTGATCATTACATTCAAATTGACTCATTAACCTTATCAAACTAAACCATTTATGAACTGTCCAATTTTTAAATAATTGGATAAAACTGTATAATCTGCTAACTCATTTGGAATTTAAAAGAAAAATAACCCTTTCCTTTTTATTGGAAGGTCTATAAAAATATAGCACAGACTCTGTGTCATTAACAACACATTTTATCCTGGCTTTTCTTTTTTTTTAATATTTTTAAATGTTTATTTATTTTGGAGAGACAGAGCATGAATGGGGGAGGAACAGAGAGAGAGGGAGACAAAGAATTTGAAGCAGGCTCCAGGCTCTGAACTGTCAGCACAGAGCCCAAAGCAGGGCTTAAACCCATGAACCGTGAAGTCATAACTTGAACCAAAGTCAGATGCTTAGCCAACTGAGGCACCCAGGTGCCCCATCCTCGTTTTTCAAATCTACATTGTATTTCCTTGTGAGGGTTTACCATATGTATTCGGCTATTCAGTTTTTTGATGGACATTCAGTTAGCTTCAAGCATGTATGTATGTATGTATGTTTATTTTGAGAGAGAGAGATTGAGCTCATACAAGGGAGAGGTCCAGAGAGAAAAAGAAAGAGAATACCAAGTATTCTGATACTGTACTGGCAGTGCAGAACCAGATCCAGGGCCTGAACTCACAACCTGTGAAATCATGATCTGAGTCTAAATCAAGAGTCGGATACTTAACCATCTGAGCCACCCAGGCACCCAGAAATTATTTTGCTTCAAATATTTAAAATATTTATAACACCTTGAAAACACTGCTTGTACAAAACAGGGAATATATATTTGTTGAATGAAAAAATTTCTCTAATCTGTCCTCAAATCTCTGAAAGTCAGGGTAGGGTAATTTTCATGTATTCAATTCTCTATCCCAAGGCCCAAGTCTCTTAGCGTATGTTATGGCTCGCTAAATTCTATTTAATGTTAAGACTGTTTTATGGGAAAGTACAGTTGAATTTATAGCTGTGGAGGGGGATCGTCTTCCTACTACTTAGTTTTTGGGTTAAATGTGTGCCTGGATTTCACAGGCATTAACTGAAGGTTCAGAATATGCCATAAGAATTGTACCATTCTGAGTATGACAGCAACAGCACCAAACACAGAAAGAAGCCAGCACTTACCTGGACAAGAAACATCGCTAGGTGGTGAAATTCTCCACGGCCCCCTTGCTTAACAGGAACTGTCATAAAGAATGTGCTTCCATCTCTAGAAAACACTGGCTCCTCATTCTAAAATACAGAAGTGCATATGATGACGTCAAGATGGTATGTGGACTTTTGTTTGCAAAATGGTCAAATTATTTTAAAAATTAGGTGAATGTACCACCACCATCTATCTTTGGAAATTTTTCATGTTTCTCAACTAGAAACTGTGTGCATTAAATGATAACTTCCCATTCCTCCCTACCCCGCTCCCTGGAAACCCCATCAATGCCTTTTCTGTCTCTTTGATTTGGACTCTACCAGAAGAAGCTCTTTAATGAGTGGCTTACAAAAAACAAACCTTTCACCCAGCTACTCTAGTTGCTTGAATATACATTTCTGTTGATGCATATATAAGTGTACTGAAACACTGAAATTAAAAGCCTGAAAAATTGGATGGAATCCATTGAAAATCATTTACTTCAAACTTCCCATCTTCACTGTTCACCCCTCCAAAAATACACAAACACAAATGCCCATTTGATGATTTTTTAATTAAGCTCTAAGTGGCAAGTTACATCAATAGAATTATTTTCTGAAAATTAAATGATGGAGACTATGCATATAGATTGCTCTCCTTTTGCTCCAGGGGAAAGATTAAGAAAATGGATTTGTCTGAAAAACATTGAGTTCTTTCCTGTTGGCTTAGTGAAAGTGATTATACATCCGGTAAAAGAAAGTCTTTTGCTATGGTTACTTTTGCAGGTCTTTAAAATGCCCTATAAGCCCTTTCAGATGATCTGGCCCTCTACTCTCTTTCTGATCTCATCTCCTTTCATTATCCTTCTTCTTCATTGTGCATGCTCCTTCTCCAGGGCCTTTGCACTTTTTCTTCCCTTTGTCTGTTTCTTTCTTTTATTTCTTTCATATCTTGGCTCTGTATCACCTTAACAGTGAGGTGTTTTCCCGTTACCCCATGTAGAGGGTGGTCTTGGAAGCCAGATCAGCTAACTCTATCTGCATCCCTCATCTCCTTTTACCTACTTCTGGTTTTTTCCATAGCACCTAACAGTATCCAGCATATTTTATTTCATGTACGTATGCATCATTTTGTATATATGTGTTTGTATGCAGGTGGGCAAGTATCTATCTCCAGCACCTACATAATGACTGTTTTATAAATTGTGCTTAATAATTATTTACTTGGGGCTCCTGAGTGGCTCAGTTGGTTAAGCATCTGACTTCGGCTCAGGTCATGATCTCACTATTTATGAGTTAGAGCTCCGCATTGGGCTCTGTGCTGACAGCTCAGAGCCTGAAGCCTGCTTTGGATTCTGCATCTCCCACTCTCTCTGTCCTTCCCCCACTCGTACTGTCTCTCAAAATATGAATGTTAAAAAAATTAAAAATGATTATTTACTTAAATATTTTACGTGAGTAAGTAAATTAGTAACTATTTTCATAATCTCAAGAGTCTGCTTTTAACTTCATTAGTGTGAACATCCCTTGATAGAAATATAGGGATAATATTTTTCTTGTCAACTTCATGGATACTCATGAAAATATAAGATGATACATGTAAAAATGTAAAATGGAAGTAACATGCAATTCAAGGATGAAAACATTGCATTGCTAGGCATCTAATAAATACTCACAAGATACCTGAGTGAACCACATCTTTCAACTATGATAGAGTCAATAATTCTCTAGGTCCTCTCTTTTGCCCTCTAGAATCTCTCTCTTTGCCTTTACACATGAAACACCTTCTGTTTGAAACAACTTTTCTGTTTTACGTTTTGTACTGATTCTTACTCTTTTTTTTTTTTTTCTTAAGAAACAGAAACCATTACCAAATTCCCCTAGTTGGAGAATGTCTCGTAGTTCAGAAATCTTTCCTTAGAGATTCTAACAATTACACTGTATTTATCTCTACCATGACATTCAATGCATTCTATTATATGGTTGGCTTCCTTCACTAGGCAAGTAATAATTAAACTAAGTTTGTAATTTTATCTTTTTAGCTCTATTGCCTAGGACCCAGTAGGTGTCCAGCTCATAATTGAATAGATGAATGCGTGTTTACAATAGGCAAAATCTTTGTGATTATATATATATATATATATATATATATATATCACTTTATCAACATTTGCTCCAACTTATCAGCTCCTTCCCTATTTTCTCCTTATGATTTGCTCCAAAAATAAATTGCCTTTTTAAGGTACAGGGATATCTGAGCATTCTCCTTTTTATATTTGTCCCCCCACCCCTTTCCAATTCTAGTGCCTTGTAAATGGTTCAGTGAAGGAGCAGATGGAGTCTATAATCTTAAATGCATTGCTGGGCTTAAAACTCTTCATCACTAGGCAATATCTACATATAAATAGAACTCTATGCCAACCTTTTCCTAGAATCAAATAATGGAAATGGAGCCAATCTCACTATCTACTTTTATGATCATAAGCAAGTCAATGTTTATGACACACAGAATTGGGGATACCAGACTCTATTTCCAATGATTTTGTACAGGGCTTATCACAAGCCTCTTGAAAGCCAGGCCAAATTCTCTCTGCTCTTCCTACTATCCAGAAAGTGAGCATATCATGATTATATTTAATTTCTAATTGTCTTAGAAATTTGCTTCCTCTCATTACTACTATCAGTCTCATACTTTAAATTTTATCAAATTTTAAATATTTTCTAAAACTCCCTAAGGGCTTCTAGAGAAAACCTCAACTGTGACAAACTATGACCTGCATGTTTTTTACTGAATAATTGATAACTAGTTTCTTTGCTTTAAAAAAAGTTTCTGTTAAGCATTCATAAGTTTTGGATTTAAAATGCAGATAACATAATTCCACAAAAGCATGTATTATGTTGATACATGTCAGACTATTTTGAAAGTCACTGGCAATAAAAATGATAGCAAAATAGGTTTGATAATGCAGGCCAATTCAGAATACATCAATAGCCATTATGATGTTGTTTCTCATTGTTTTTATTTTCAGTATCTAACTTGAGAAAGTCCATTACTAACTACAAGATCAAAGTTATTTTTTTCCTCCAATTTCATTAAGTAGTTCATATTAACATCTACTTACTTATCTATCTAGCAGTAGATTTGGTATGCCTATTGTTCAAAGAAGAAAAGGTTTATCTTATTTACAGAACTTCTTACTTTTTCTTTATTTCTCCAGCAAGTATTCATGGAGATTTTGCTATAACCAGGTTTTGTATTAGGCATTTAGTTTACGATGGAGAACAAAAGATGCATATTCCTCCTGCCCTTGTGAACTTAGGAAATATTTCACAGAAATAATTGTGTAAGCATCACAAAAATATTACACTTGACTTTAAAATAACTCTTATTAAGGGATGTGGTTATGGTGGTTGGAGGACGTGATTTTTTAAGTAGGTGATTTAAGCTAAGGTTTGACAAATGAGCAGGCTTCACAAAGGAAGTAGTTGAGAGAATTCTGTTCAGAGGAAAGGATCATACAAAACCTTGGGAGTGTAAGAGCTAATGTGCACACAATGAAGAAGGAATTTATGAGAATCATTCCAGTTGTGAGAATGGGTGGGGGGTCAGAGTGCTGTGGCTAGGGACCCCATAATGCATGCTGTGCAAAGGTTCCTCAGCCAGCCTGTAGAGTGGAGAACAGACCGGCATGTGCCCAAGGGGTTGAGTGTTCAGCACTGAAAGAGGAGCTGCAGTACCCGCAGGTTGATCCAGGATGCTGTTTGTGAATTGGAGAAAAGTCAATTGACCTGAGATCTTCCAATGTAAAATTGAAGAACTGAGTGATGAATAATATATGCAGAAAAGAATGGGGAAAAGTTTAAGAATGACTGCTAGGTTTCTGATTTTTAATAGCTGGATGGGTACTTATATCCTTGACTCCTATGATGAAAAGAATGCATTAAGCCACTAGAGGAGGAATAATGTTCACTTTGTACCTGTGGCATGTGCAGTTACTTTTACAGACTCAGGATAAGAGGCCAAACATGAATTTGGATGTTTCAGAACCCAGCCTAGTGAGCTTCCCAGGGTTACACATTTAGAAGTCTCGATACATGGGTTGTAACTGAAACTATAGATGTGTATGACACTTCAGGAGAGAATATAAAATAAAGGATCACTGTAAAGAACACAAAACAAATCAAGTAAACCAAACAAAACACTACCATTTGCAAAAAAAACAAAAACAAACAACAGTAATGGAGTCAGTAGTGAAATGGGTTCAGTCATATTTGGATATTCTGCTTGTGTTTCCTTCTGATATGTCTGGTACGACACCATGTTGTGGAGACATTTAGTAGTTGTTCTGTGATCTGGATTCCAGCCCCATGTATGTCACAAGCTAGCATCATGATCTAGGATACATCTAGGGAAAGAAGCATTTGCCTTAACAATATCCACATACCCAGTTTATGAGGAGGTTTTGTCAATTTTCTGGGCAATTTGAACAATGTTGATACGTTCGAGCTTTAATGGGTCACAACTTTTTCTTCTTTCATCTACACAAAAGTTTACTGATATGAGTGATCCTGAAAATGGATCCTAGTAGGTACTCTGCAATTTACATTCTGTTAAAAAAAGGAAGTAGCCTTTTCATAAATGATGTCATAGAAAGGCCAAGTCATAAATATCTTAATGAAAAATATTCACTTAGTCAAATACAGCAAAGCCTTAAAGTCATATTACCAAGATAACTTTTGAGAGAAATTTATTACACACCCAATGGGTAAATAGAATGAGCACAATGGCCAAGATGTGACAGAAAGCAACTTCCTGGGCCATACCTGTTTGGAGAGCCATGTATCTGCTGTCATCTCGTATTTCTGAAAAGAAACAATGAACTCCATGAAGCATCTAAACACCAAAAATGAGCATGGGTCAATTTAACTTCTTTTACACGTTATCCTGGAGGCCTTATTTTTTCTCTCTTCAACTAGGGAAATGCCATGAGAGATCCCATTGTCATTACTGATTTAAACTGAATGAATAAGCACAGAATTTGGATATAATGATAATTTAATTATAAAATCTTTTCTGTGGTGAACTCCTTTAGAATTCCCAGTAGTATGTCACCAGGGATAGAAGATCATTTTCCAGGGCTGTTTGATTACCTCATTCAAACTGTTTTGAACCACTAGGCACTGTCTCTTTTCACCTCTAGGCATCATCAGGAAACAAAATTATTAAGTCCTTCAAAAGAACTGGGCAAACTGCCAAGAATGAAATGAAAAGGTAGATGTTCTTTCAACATTCAATCCATTCTCCTCCATAGTCATTTTCTTTTCTTAAGAAAAAACAATTAAAAATTTGAAATGACAAAATTTTAGGTTCCATTAAAATTATCTTGCAAATGTTCAGAACTCAGGTCATTATTCCACAAAGCAAAACTAGATTAATTTAATCTCAACTTAAATATGTGGAGATAAAATAAATTTTATTAGTACTGTTGCATACAGTAATTTATGAAAATCTTGCATTCTAGGAAAATAAGTCTATACTAAAGGTATTTAAATGAAGAAAACAAAGTCACAGTATATTAAATATTTTATCAATATGCAGAAGTATTTACTTCAAATTTTTATTAATAATTATTTATGAGGTTTTTTGTTTTCCTTTTTTTTAACCAGTTTTCTCTTTTAAAGCCACATTATTATTACATTAAAATCAATCACTTTCTATTTTCAGGGCCTATTTTTATTTAATAGACTTTTCTACATGTGGATATCAAGGAAACATCTAACTAAATCATTCCTTGATTTTCTATTTGTACTTCTTGTGCCTTGATATCTATAAAACACAGACACACACACAAGAATATACCAGTGCCCCTTTTTAGTGTTTATTAATATTTTTGTAATGTTTATTTATTTGTTTGAGAGAGCAAGAATGCAAGTGGGGAAGCATCGGGCGGGGCGGGGGGGGGGAGCGAGAGAGAGAGCGAGAGCCAGAATCCCAAGTAGGCACCGTGCTGTCATTGTGGAGCTCAACACAGGGCTCCATATCCTGAACTGTGAGATCATGACCTGAGCCCAAATTAAGAGTCAGATACTTAGGGGCACCTGGGTGGCTCAGTCGGTTAAGCGTCCAGCTTGGGCTCAGCTCATAATACCACCGTTCGTGGGTTCAGGCCCTGCATCATACTCTGTGCTGACAGCTCACAGCCTGAAGCCTGCTTCAGATTCTGTGTCTCTCTCTTTCTCTGCCCCTCCCCTGCTCATGCTCTCTCTCACTTTCTCTCAAAAATAAATAAATGTTTAAAAAATTTTAAAAACTGAGATACTTAACCATTTGAACCATGCAGGCACCCCAAAGTATTACTAAGTTTATTTTTTTAGAATTCATGAAAGTCCAAAGTTTCACATCCATTTATTTGTCTTATTTCAGTTACAACAGAGAGTAAAATCTTTATTTAACTCCATATATGGATGAGACATAGAATATCAATTAGATTCCAAATCAATATGATAGCGTTCCTATATCTATTTTCTACTGAAGCTTGTTGATACATTCTTGACATTGCCTATGTAGATTATCTTTATATAGAAAAGGTGACAGGCTTTCTCTAACTAGAATATACACATGCCAATTTCTAAACCATTTAGTAATTAGCTGAATAAGAAATCATTCAGAACATGTTAACAAATGAATAGTGAAATCCTAGTCCATCTATAAGCTAATTAGATGAAAGAGATGGTTGAAATATATTTCTAATAAATACAAGCTATATGTAAAGACTGCTAGTCAAATCCAGTAAGTACAAGGTTGATGCATCAAACTTAATCTCCACATCTTATGTTCGTCACTCCAAAGAAAAATTTCTTCCTCTTTTCTCTTTTATAGACTATTTTAAAACTATGTTTTAAAAATATTGGAGTATAATTTGCATATCGTGAAATGTACAGATCTCAAGGTTATGAGATGAGTTTTGATGACTATATTCACTTCCCCTAAAGACACAAGGTCTTTTCACTTCCTCAAACATTCTCTTGTGCTCCTTCCCAGAGGTTCCAAAAAGGTGGTCACTCTTCTGAACTCTTTCCCCAATGATTAGTTAGTTTTACCTGCATTAGAAGTTCAGATTACTGAAATTATATATTATATATTCTTTTAAGTAGGAAATTTTTTACAGTTTTTGAGATTCATTCATATTTTTAGACAAATCAGTATTCTGTTTCTTTTTGAATTGTCGAGCAGAATTCTGTTCTCTTTATTCCTTGTTAATGGATACATATATATATTTGATATATATATATATATATATATATATAATGGATCATATATATATATATCCATCAAATGATTTGTATCATTTGATAGAGACAGTTTTTTCTTAATTTTTAAAAATGTTTTATTTATTTCTGAGAGTGAGAGAGACAGTGTGAGCAGGGGAGGGTCAGAGAGAGAGGAAAATGCATAATCTGAAGCAGGCTCCAGGCTCTGAGCTAGCTGTCAGCATAGAGCCTGACGCGGGGCTTGAAACCACAAACCATGAGATCATGACCTGAGCCAAAGCCGGATGCTTAACTGACTGAGCCACCCAGATGCCCCGATGGAGACAGGTTTTTATTTCCTGTCCAAATATCTAGGAATGGAGTTATTCTGTGTGTGTGTGTGTGTGTGTGTGTGTGTACACGCACTCATTCATATATATAATATACATTAAAATGCATACATATATGTTTATATATATATATATATACATTTTTTTTAATGTTTTTTATTTATTTCTAGGAGAGAGAGAGAGAGACAGCGTGAGTAGGGGAGGGTCAGAGAGAGAGGGAGTCACAGACTGAAACAGGCTCCAGGCTCTGAGCTGGCAGTTAGCACAGAGCCCGACGCGGGGCTCGAACCCACGAACAGCGAAATCATGACCTAAGCGAAAGTCGGACGCTTAACCGACTAAGCCACCCAGGCGCCCCTATATACATTTAATTTTACTTGAATCTGCAAAATCATTTTAAAGTAGCTGTACCATATTATACTTCTACTCATGAAGAATAAGAACTGAAACATTCTACATCCTCAATAGTTTACACTCACCTTTTTGTTGTTTTAATTTTAGTCATTCTAATAGTATATAGTGCTATCTTATGATTTAGTCTATATTTTCCTAATGTCTAATAATGCTGAATACTTTTTCATGCATTTATTACTTCCTTATACACTTCTGTTCATGTTTTGATGTTTTTATTGGGCTGCCTTTTCATTACTGAGATGCATATATTTGTGAGACAACACATTTTGCAAAATACATTCCCCTAGTCTGTGGCTAGCTGCTTCTCTTCTTTTTTTTTTTTTTTTAAGTTTACTGATGTGTGTGTGTGTGTGTGTGTGTGTGTGTGTTTGTGTGTGTGAGAGAGAGAAAGAGACAGAGACAGAGACAGACAGAGAGAGAGGCAGAGAGAGAAGGAGACACCATCCCAAGCAGGCTTCACACTGTCAGCGCAGAGCCCTATGTGAGGCTCCATCTCACAAACTTGAACCAAAACCAAGTCACAGGTTTAAGCCACTCAGCCACCTACGTACCCCTGTGGCGAGCTGTTTCTGAATGGTGACTTTGTTGAGAAGTTTCTAAGTTTGATGATGACTAATATATTATTTTTTCTTATATGAATAATGGCATTTTTCTTATTCAATATAAGCCAGTTATATCTCATAGTTTTATCTAGAAGATTGACAGTATTATCTCTTAGATTTAGGATTGCAATTTACCTCATATTAATTTTGGTACATGATTTTAAATACCACTGTATTTTTCATTTGGTTATTCATTATTCCAGAATCATTTTCGTCTTTTGGATTGTTTTGGCATCTCTGTTAAAAATCAATGGATCATATAACTATAGATCTATTTCCAGAAACTCTATCAATTCAGTTGATCTGTTTGTGTGCCCTTATGCCCCCACTATAACTCTCAGTTTCTGTGGCTTTCTAGTTATTCCTGAAATCCAGTATTTCATATAGCCATTGGCTATTTGAATATCTTCTTTGGAAAAATGTCTATTCAGGTCCTTTGTCCATTTTTAAATTAGATTATTGAGATATTTGTTTTTGTTTTTATTTTATTTTCGTTTGGGTTGTATGAGTTCTTTATATATATTAACTCTTTATCAAATATACGATTTGCAAATATGTTCTTCTATTTCACAGGTTGGCTTTTCAATTTTGTTGACTCTTTCTTTGTCTATGTAGAAGCCTTTTAGCTTGATAGTTTTAATTTGCTTAAATTATCCATTATCTTTTAGAAAAAAAATAAAAACCTAGAAGATATTTTTATTTTATTTTACTCACATATTTACCATTTTGGGCACCTTTCTTTCCTTCATTTAGATTTGAGTTTCCCTCTGATGCTATTTTTTTTTTTCAGACTGAATAATTTCATTTCATGTTATTTCTGCAGATCTACTTGTAATAAATTATCTCAGCTTTTACTCATCTTAAAATGTCTGTCTTCATGTTTGAAAGATATTTTCATAGGATACAGACTTCTTGTTTACACTGTTTTTCTTCCAGTCCTTTAAAAATGCATTCCACTGCTTTCTGGCTTGGGTTGTTTCTGATGACCCAGAGGCATAGTTTTCATCATTATATTCTCCCATATGTAACATGTTTTCCTCTCAAGCTGTTTTAATTTTTTTCCTCTTAATCTTTGGTTTACAATAATTTGAATATTATGTGCCTATTTATTTTCTTAGTTTTTATCCTGTTTGTGATTTGCTAACTTCTTAGATATGTAGGTTAATGGTTTTTTTTTTTTTTTTCAAATTTAGGATATTTTAAGTCATTATTATTTTTTTAATGTTTATTTATTTTGGGGAGGGAGAGAGGGAGGGAGGCAAGGGGCAGAGAGAGAGAGAGAAAGAGGATTTGAAGTAGGCTCTAAGTTGAAAGCACAGAGCCCAATGTGTGGCTCAAAAGCACCAACTGTGAGATCTTGACCTGAGCCAAAGTCAGACACTTAACCGACTGAGACACCCATGAGCCCATTCATTCTTTTATTTTTCCTGCTCCAATATCTCATACCTTGTCTTCTGTATATATTCTATCACACATACTTAGTTCATATTGTTCTACAGGTAAATGAGGCTTTGTTCATTTTATTTTCCTGTCTTTTTTTCCTCGGGACTTCAGTTTGAATTGTTTTTACTTCCCTGACTACAACTGTGCCCAGTTTGTGTTTTAACCCATCCAGACAATTTTTCATCTGAGGCACTTTTCTTTTTAGTTCCTGAAATTTCATTGTTCTGTAACTTACAGTTTATTTCTCTACTGAAATTTCTCATCTATTTATTTATTAGGGCCACCCTTTAATTTGCCAACTATCTTTCAAACAGATTTTAAGAAATTCTGTGTCTGTCAGTTCTAATAACTCTATCCTGTGTCAGTCTGCTTTTATCAATACTTTGGCAGATGGGTGGGAGGCAGGCACATTACATTTTCTATTTTTCTACATATATAGTATGTTTTGATTGTGTGATTGATATTTTAAATTTTAATTTTCCTTTTAAAAGAGTAAACTGTCTCTGGGAAGACAGCTAATTTACAGGCATGCACTTGATCCTTCCCAGGACTGATATAAAGGTTCATCGTAAAGAGTACAGAACAAGCTTATTCCAAATATTCCAAAATGCATTAGCATTTTCATTCTGGGCTGTGAGACGAACGCACAGGGTTTTCAGTGAGAGCACTCCATTTTCGCTCTTGAGCACTCCAGAGGCGCCAAGCATTGTGTAACCTGCAGACTCTCATTTTGCTTTTCTCTCTGTGAAGCATGGCCTGTACTTGCACAGTTAAGCACTGAGCTACACTCTTGAGAGGTCCTTTACATAGATTGCCAGAGCTCTTCTCTCTGTAACTCCAAATCTTGTGGCACTTGTCCTCCAAACTTCAGCCACCACAATAGCCTCACATCCATTCTCCCTGCCTACTTACATGAGTGATACCCCTGTGCTTTTCTAGGGCTTCACTAGCTTGCACTGTGATCTCAAAGTGGCCCCTACAGGAAGCCAGACTTATCTTCTGTATTTTTTTTTTTTTATTTCATTCCTTATGTCCTTATCCTGCTATTGTTTGAGAATACTTGTTTAATACATTTTGTATAGTTTTAGTGTTGACTACAGCAGAGATGCTGGGCTGGCAGCATTCACACCAACTTGTCTAGAAACAGAAGTTTAAGGGGCACCTGTGTGGCTTAGTCAGTTAACCGTTCGACTTTGGCTCAGGTCATGACCTCACAGTTCATGGGTTCGAGCCCCATGTCAGGCTCTGTGCAGACAGCACAGAGTCTGGAGCCTGTTTCGGATTCTGTGTCCCCCCTTCTCTCTACACCCCTCCCCTGCTTGCACTCTGTCTCTATCTCTCTCCAAAATAAACAAACATTAAAAAAAGTTTTTAGAAACAGAAGTTTGAAAAGTCTGTTGTTAAATAGTTGGGAATACTTTTGCGAGTAACAATATAAGCATATGATAGAACAACTTAAACTGATTATAGTTTTCCCTCTGTTAAGAAGTTGAAAAATGACACATATAGAATTTATTGTAGAGTTTATAAACACTGATTGTAGAAATAGAAATGCGCCCTGTTTATAAAACACAGTGGTTCAAGGACCATTTTAATTTTACTCTTCTCACTTAATTTAAAAATAGAGATACTGTCCATTATTTTATAAGACTAATCTGAATGACCATAAAATTTGAATTTTTGGAATTTGTTTGAAGAAAGCAGGGAAAACATTCCATATTCTCAAGTTAACCAAAGTCAAAATATGGAGAGAAAAAATATATTTCAGAATTAAATTAATGTGACTTAGAATCCTCTTAATAGCACACAAGAATTCATTTATTAAAAATCTTGGTTTGTTTTCTTTTGCTTATCATATATTTCTCATTTCAAGGTTTGGATGATTTATGGATTAAAATATATAGTCCTCATAGAAGGACTCTTTCCTACCTACCTTCAGAAGTTAAATCTTGGTCTTTGTACAATTGATCGTCTGACTTCCCTTTGAGAGGAGAATAAAATACTTCATTTTTAGCATGAAAGAAAAGTAAATTATACTCACCCGACTACAGGCACCAGTGGTGGTCTCACAGACCGTGAGGATGGAAATGTTCTGAGGCCGGTTTAACCACCTCACCACCGTCTTCGTATTGCTTACCCATTTAACCATGGTGATATAATATTCTCTAGTTTGGAAACAAAGATAAAATTTACATTTAGATCCAGAGAAACTGCATATTATCAAAAATATACATTCGTTATTTTATATAGAAGGATAAATTAAACACTCTAAGGCTGCTACATCACATTAATTTCTATTTATGTATGTATACATACCTGCTATTCCGAATACTCGTGTGTATATGTGTATATGTATACACACACATACACATATATGTAAACACGTGTACATATACATATATACATACAGGTGCAAATATACAGAAAATTTGAGAATACATTTGAATGATATCCCAGAAAGGAAATCCTTGGAGAAATAAAATAATCAAGGTTAATGACATATTTGAATACATTTTCTCATTTTCTATTGATTAACACTATTATGTGCAATATGTAGAATTTGTTTTCTTAAATAGGTTTTTGTCGAGTTGGTTTCCATATAACAGCCAGTGCTCATCCCCACAAGTGCCCTCCTCCACGCCCGTCACCCCCCTTCCCCTCTCCACCACTCCCATCAGCCCTTAATTTGTTCTCAGCATTCAAACTCTCACGGTTTGCCTCCCTCCCTCTTCCCAACTATTTTTTCCTTTCTTCTCCCCCATGGTCCTTTGTTAAGTTCCTCCTAATCCACCTATATGTGCAAACATATGGTATCTGTCCTTCTCTGCCTGACTTATTTCACTCAGCATAAACCCCTCAAGTCCCATCCATGTTGCAATATGCATAATTTTTAAGATATATACTATTTTCTTAAAAAATGCACTCATTAATCAATTAAAGGCAAAAACCATTCTTGATTTAATAATTTTTTCTTTCACATGATCTCTGTGTTCAGTTTACTTATGGGGACTTGTGTGACAGAGCTATTAATTTTTATTTATTTATTTTTTATGTGAGTGGTCTTTGTCAGTTTTAGACCAGGGATCACTCCCAATCTTGTTCGATACACACACATACACACACACACACACACACACACAGATTATAAATATATACACACACATACACATACATACATACAAATATTTATTATAATTTTAACATCTTATTTAAAACAGTTTAAAATGAAGTCATCCAAATTAAGGAGATGAGGAAATATTGAACTTTTGGTATAGTGAAGATGCTAACTACTGGGGCCCATAATGTTCTCAGGCTAGTTCTAGATTAGGAAAACATATATTTTTTCCTTTATAATTAGTTTGTGTTTCTTTCAATGTAGATTCTATATTTAAGAAATTACACACTATATCAAAAAACCCTCAACCCACACAGACAAAATACAATGGTCAGCAGCAATTCAACTTATGACAAAAATAAAACCAACAACAACAACAAAAAAAAAAAACAAAAAAAAACCCTTTTCAACAAATTTGCCCAGTTTCAGATTAGATGGGATAGTTTAGAAATGGCTGGAAAAGTGCTGTCCATGAGTACTGTCTTAAAATTAATCCACCCAGTTTTTTATGTGACTTAGAAAAAAGACTACCTATGGGAGAAAAGCTTTGTGATATAAATCACCTGTCCTTAGATAAATGTGGGATAGGCATTTAGTTACACAAATCTTACATCTCTAACATTACTGAATAACTACCACTTCCGCCAGAAAACTGGTTAGCCCATCAGAGTGAAGCTGTCAGTAGAAGGGCAAGCAAGAGTTATCATATGGTGAAGCCCTGCCATATTTTCTTCAGCAATCACTTCAAGACATCTGGCTGTTTTCAACACAGGCTAAGTCTCACTTGAAAAACTCCAATAAACCCAGTGAAATTATAACACAAAGTTCCCTAAATAGCTAATGAAGGCAACTTTGAATCAGATATACAACTGGTTTAGGATTAATCTTTGGCCAAATCAGTGGGCCTTGAGATTTTTCAAAGAATAATGTCCTGTTCATTTTTACTGCATTTCGTTTAAATTATTTTGCCTGTATTATCATGGTCAGCAGTGTGAATATTAAAAAGTGGGAAATATAGGTATTAACCTTTAAAAGATTTATCTAGAGGATTAGCATGGAAGAAAATGATAGTGGATATTATAATCAGGAAAGGAAATGCTGAATACATATTTCTGAATAATTGGTGCAAATGTTATTCACGATTGAAGTAAAAAATAGTGTGACTATTCTAAACAACTGACCACAGACTGCAAAATCATAGAATTTACAGAAAAATCAAGACAGAACTGGTATACATAAATTTTCAAACCCAATCAGAAATTTGTCTTAATTAGCTAAAGTGAGTAGTATTACATATTGTGCCAAATGAGATGACAACCAACATGAATAATTTAAAAAAATAATTAACAGCTGCAACAACAAACATAATTTAAATATTCATCATAAGTGTTTTCCCTTCTAAAGTAGCCCTCAAGTGTAATGTTGCAAGAACATCATTTTTATAATGTCTTCACAGACATTGACACATGTTTATTATCTATGATGGAAAATCTTGACTTTATCAAGGATTTCATGTGAGTAAAACAAGTGAAACTCAACCAGTGGAAATCTGGTGAATAAGTGATTTTAAAAGGGAATACTAATTTAGGTGTAAATTAAGTTGAAATCATTAATTTATAGTCAGGCCCCTTACATTTCTCTTGCATTAGATAATGTGACTATTTCATAATATACTACTTCATGTATATAATGTATCTTATGCCTACACGCACAATTTAGTGTTCTTTGAGCTATCTTAGGAAATACGCTTATTTATAATCTGAAAGATGAGAGTTCTCCCCAAAATTGAATTTATAAGGTTTATCAGGGGTAATTTGAAGTGACTGAAGTTTCCACAATAAAGTGTTGTGATTATCTAACGTGAAAGTTAAAGTAGAGCTTCACACCTAGAAAGTAAGTCACATCCCGTATTCTTTCTTTTCTTGTTCCAGGATCCTAGGTGCACCTCTCCTTAGTTTGCTCATTAAGTAACGAGGCTTCCTTGGATGAGGGAGTAGGGAAGTGTCCTTACCTGGAACGCACTCTCCTTGGCCTGCCTGCGGCTGATGTGGCTCTGCTCCTGGAACTCCATCTCATGAACACATTAGATCTGGTGTCCCACGACCAGCGGCCAGCGGAAGTGGCCCTTACTTACAACTGGCTTTCCTGCTTGTTCCTAGTCTCCATGGCTCGGGATTACCCAGGAAGTCCTCGAGGAGCTTGTCCTCTTGAGCCATAGAGACAGAGACAAGCGGGTTAGAGGGATTACACTCAAGTCAAGAAAGACTTTCTATCAGCTGGATGGTCTGGCACAGAAGATCTAATTGTTCACAAGGGTGTGTGGAATGGAGGCCCCAGTATCATCAGCAGACAGGTATTATGCTACAAGTCACACCTGTGTCTTCACTGGCTTTCCATCCATCACTACTTTGAGTTCCCAACATAATCTTTGTACATATATAGTTGCACCAAACTAAGTGTCTTCCAGATAGGCCAGGGTCTCTACCCATAACTGTGTTTTAATGGCATGCATGACCAACTCATAGCTAGTTGTCTCAAAAGACTTCTGTTAATAACCATGCATTACTTGTAAGAAGCGTCATTTAGGACATTTCAATAAACAGAGAAGTTTTTCTTAACTTGATTCTCTTGGAAGACACAATATGTCTTGGCAGGAAAAAAAAAAGATATAGACTAGACATACTTCAATGATATAGGAAGAAAAAAGCATGATGCAATCAAGCCCAGAATGACAGGTAATATGACAATGTCACATTAATGATACATGCTGAGAATAATGGGTCACAAAGGGTGGATGACTAAAGAAAGATTTCAAATAAATAAAATAATGTCAAAGACACAGAGTAAGGAGAAACCAAAGATAAAACACTACTTTTACTCCTCAACCTGGAGATACCTGAATATAAAGGAAAATCACTTCTTCAAAACAATCTGACAAAGGCCTAGAACTTAAATATTTATTTTTAAAATTATACTTATTGATGCTAGTAAAGATAAGGAATGCTTATTATATCTTACACTCATAGTGTAAAAATTTACAAAAATGTTTCTTTCCCTTAAGATGAGATGAATTATCAGCAGAGCCTGGGTGACTCAGAAGGCTGAGTGGCCAACTTTTGATCTTGACTCAGGTCATGATCTCAGAGTTTATGGGATCAAGCCCTATTTCTGGCTCTGTGCTGACTGCATGGAACCTGCTTGGGATTCTTTCTCTCCCCCTCTGCCCCTCCCTCTCTAAGAGAGTGAATGTGCTGACTCTCAAAATCAATAAATAAACAATAAAAAAAAGATGAGATAAATTGTCTAACTCCCAAATGGGTCTGGAATGCTCATGAGGGGACATTATCTTAATTCCTACTGTGCTACTTTCTGAACTGAATTACTGTTGAAGAAAAGTTGCATTCATGATCTGAATTTGTTTGATATAAGATCTTTAGCTGAATCACAAATATACTTTCTTTTTTTTTTTAATTTTTTTTTAATGTTTTATTTATTTCTAGGAGAGAGAGAGAGACAGCGTGAGCAGGGGAGGGTCAGAGAGAGAGGGAGTCACAGACTGAAACAGGCTCCAGGCTCCGAGCTGGCAGTCAGCACAGAGCCCGACGCGGGCCCGAACCCACGAACCGCGAGATCATGACCTAAGCGAAAGTCGGACGCTTAACCGACTAAGCCACCCAGGCGCCCCTCAAATATACTTTCTGAAGAAATAAAGAAGTATGGGGGAAGGAAAAAGGAAAAAAAAATTACATTTTTCTCCAAGCTATGGTATCTTTTTAATTTATTTATAAAACCATATAAATGGATTGAAATTTATTTTACATTCTTTGACTAGAGTGTAAGTATCTGGCTGAAGGGAAGGTCTACCAAATGCTGATTGTAGCTCGGGGACATATTTCTATAATAATGATGAATATTAGTTGTTATCAATCAATCAATTAATCAATCAACCAGATAAGGAATCAACAGACCAAAACAAATGACTTAACATCTTCAAATTCTAAACAAACCTTGCTCTTTGGAATGGGAGTAAAAGAATACAGTTAATAAAGTAGCTCAAGGCATAAGAGACCCTTTTTCAATTTATCTTGTAAGTTTTCTCCCTATTTGGTATGCACATATATATTCAATTCAAAATTATTATTGTTGCCATGATGGTGATTTTTATGAGAGAAAAAAAAAGGCTAAGAGATGGTTCAGATTTAGTGGGGAAGAAAAGAAGAACCAAAATGGAAAAAGAAATAAAAGATAGTTCATAACTACACAGAGCAATAGAATAAGAGTCACATATTGATTGTCATTGTACAAATCTGAAGATATTATAAAAATATAATAGATGTTTATATAGCATACCAAAAATGGAGTAAATATGTAAATTATTACAGAATAAATTAAAATTATTAGGGTATTCTGTTACTGAGGGTTTAAGTAGAATCTCAAATGATATGGGTAGCTGTGAACCCATATGCTATAAACACAACATGAACTCCAAAAAAAGACAGCATTTGACGGTCCTAATAGGGCATGGGAAGAGTATGTTACTAGTAAAGTTAATTTATGCTTGTTTACATTTATACATTGAAAGAGTAGTGATTTGTATTTCTTGGAATTTGTAGGAATACTGTCACTAATATATATGAGAATACTGCTACTAATAGTGATACCAAAAATTTAATTTATATATTTACATATATATAATTTTTAAATATAAAAAAGAATTCGAGTTAGCTTAGAATGATTCAAGAATAACATGATAAAGAAAATTAGAAAGAGAAAAAGGAAAATAAGTTAGAGACAGAAACATGTGTTACCAAAGGTAAACTTCATGTTCAAAGTACACTAATGCAGTTATGTGATTCACCTTGCACATGAGAAAAATATGGCAAGTTTTCAGGAGAAACATAGGCATCAGTTTAGATAAACCATGGATGTGTGTATGTGTTTGCATACAAGCGTGTATGTGTCTGTATAGAAATTGGGAGGTTGAAACACACACACACACACACACACACACACAGGAAGAGACATACAGAGAGGCAGAGACAGAGGTAGAAACTGCACCAGATGCAGAGACAGAATACTGTATAGAAACAGGGAGATTGGAAAGCGTTCACTCACATGCGCGCACATGCATTCACCCACACACCCACACACTCACACACACACACACACACACACGTAGAGACAGAAATAGTACTAGACACAGAGACAGAACACTTCTCACATGGCTTCAGAAAACTCACTGTGGTGTGGACGTCTCCAACATATGTCTAAACAAAGATAAACTTCTTATGGCAAATAAATTCTTAAATTATTTGTATGGAATACTCTCTGTTTCCCAGGTCCATTCTCCAACTGTCCCCCTGCAGTTTCCAGAGCCTGGCCTCTAGAATGAGGCTGCCTTGCCAGTGGAAGGCCTCTGCAGGATACTCAGAGGTTGAGAGGAGAGAGAGTTCGGGGTAGTAATTCCCAGGACCCACTCACTGCTAGGGTTTGGCGTGGCAATGACTGAATTGCTCAGTCCATGGACAGGTCCCACTGGTCCATCCTATTCTTCAGAGCTACAGGCCTCCGACTTCATCACAGCCGGTGACTCATGCCCTCAGTCCTGGGATCGCCATAGATTTTTCCTACAGCAGACTCTAAATCGCTTTTCCATCCTTTGTAAGTTTCTCATTAATCCTGCCCACATTTTTGTTAATAGTCCCTTAATTAATTGCATTTCACTTACCCCTCTTGAGTGTGTCATCTTTTTTAATTGCTAGGACCCTGACTACTAAATTATGAAAAACAATACACTCTTTTAGATCTCTAACTAGGAAGGCACAATAGTTTTCTAGCTAATTTCTATATGGCTAAAGTACTAAGTATTAAGTATTAGAGACGTTAACTAAATTAAAACATGATGAAAGAAAAGATAAAACTTTGGTTTCCATCTTATGTGCAGCTAGAGGAATGCAGCTCTGTTTGATTCATGCTACGGATATATCTATTTTTTTCATGTTTGTGTGTTTCTGGACCTGATACCTACACTCAGAGTACTAAATGCAGATGATCTAAAACTCATTGATTACTCTTCTGTGAATTTGACTGAGGCTTTCTATCAGAAACAAATGAGTAAGGAAATAAATTTCTGTAAAACTGAAACAGGAGATATATTTTTAAATATAGTTTTGAAGTAAATTTTGATCTTGAGGTTTTCAATAAAACTCATGCATTTTGGTACATTTCACATGCCACAGGTGGCACTTAACATAAGACCATGAGGCAGAAAAAGCAAAATTGTTTGGTGCATTTTACAGATAAGGTAATACATGACTGTCCCAAAATTCTAGGCCAAGTTCATCAGTAAATCAACATAGTTCGATTTCATTTAAGAAATCTTCCTTCACAAGATTCTTCCTCACTTTTAGTGGGGTCTTGTATATTACTGTGTGTCCTGGATTTACATCTAAGAATACACACACACCATACACACACACACATACACCTCTTGGGCATGGATGACTATTTTTATTATATTGCACCTCAAATATTACAGACATACTCTTAAATAGTAACCTAATAAATAACAACTGATTCTATCTTTAAGAATTTTTGTGTTTGGTGACAGTGCTATATCCTATTGAGTAAACTCTCTAGCAACTTCTTGGGTTATAACATCAAGGTCCAGAATCACCACTTTTTCTCAGAAGAAGCCTGGATATTGTAAAGTTGACTTCCATTTAAAATATTTTAAAAGACTGATGAAAATGAAATATATATATATATATAAATTTATATAGAAATATATATATATAAATATATATATTACTTTAAGATGAGGTTATTTAGACTCAGAGAGAGAAAGAGTGACTTGCCCAAGGTCATGTAATGAAATGATGGCAGAGAAATGACTCAGACACTCTAGTCTAGTGCCCTTCTCCATTAATTAAGAGCATTAAACAAATCAGAGAGAAAAAAAAGAGCTCAGGACATAAAATACTAATGACTTCCATCATTATTTCATTTGTGATTAATTCCTTCATGGCTGGTAGACCAAGTGCAGAAGTAGAGTTCCTACCTGACTTAGCCAACTCTATTGCCTTCTAAATGTTAATTCCAATGGTCCTCTAAGGTCTTACATCATGACCTGCATGAAATGCTCTATAACTTTATTGGGCTCTACCACATTTTCTACCTCTACTACCAACTAATCTTGAGGTTCACCTTTCTCTCTGGGTCTCATATTTCCATCAATAATAGGAACAGATTATATTAGGTAGTTATGGGCACCCTTCCAGTGTAAACATTCCATAAAATTTTAGTAACTTTACAAGTAGGAAACAGTTCCACATACTTCAGGCTGTAATATCTGTGAAAATCACCAACTCTGTTGGAACTTTCCTGAATACACTGATGGATCAACATTTGAGCAGAATTTATAGGTGAATCAGTTCTCCAGGACTGATTGTTGATGACATCCAAAGTTACAGCTTAGCCCCATATCATCCAATATATTCTGAAATTATTTTTCCAAATCAGCTACCTATTCCTTCCCTGGGACTTTTGTAAAGTTTTAAAGGGCTGCACTATTTGAAAGAGTACCCTTGAAGTTTGAGATGATTGAATTTCAAATTCCACATGGTTGTTTGATTCACTGTTCACTACTGGAAATTTTGATAATATTAAAATTATGCTTCTGACACATAAAGTGTTTCTTTTATATCCATTCAAACTTCCTAAATAAGAAGGCTACTTAGATCCATTCAAACTTCTTAAACAAGAAGGATGTTTTAAAACAACATCTCATTACATTTCCCTGCCTGGAGAAGAAAGCTAGGGAACTGCTCCCAAGCTATGGAGAGAACTTCTGCTGGAAAAACTACACAACACTAGGAAGATTGTACTCTTTTAAAGAGGACCTCTTTTTGGGTCCTTTTTAAAGATGAATTTTCAGGGGTGCCTGGGTGGCTCAGTCAGTTAAGCGTCCGACTTCAGTTCAGGCCATGATCTCACGGTTTGTGGGTTTGAGCCCTGCGTCAGGCTCTGCGCTGACAGCTAGCTCAGAGCCTGGAGCCTGTTTCAGATTCTCTGTCTCCCTCTCTCTCTCTGACCCTCCCTGCTTACATTGTCTCTCTCAGAAATAAATAAAGCATTAAAATTTTTTTTTTTAAAAATAAAAAAAAAATAAGGAAGAATTTTCAGGAAGAAAATTCAATGGAAAATCATCCTTTGCCCCCATCTCCCTATCACATCTGTTGCAAAGGTCTAATTTTCCTTATCACTGCATTTAGTCATTTTGTGATGCTGCTAATCACCTGGAAACTTTAAATGCTCCCTGGGAACAAGAAATCCAGAATGAGTTCATTCCTCCACTAATGGGACAAACTCAGATTTATTTTCAGGCAGATTTATTGAGCCACTCATCTCTCTCTAAATTACAACAAAATGATAATTGAAGGTAAAATAACTATTTCCAAGTAAAAATAAAATGAAAATTGCATACCTTGATTTAAAGCTGTCAGGTGGCATGAGTTCCAAAGTATGAGTTGGTCCATATAGGTTTACAACATATAATTTGATGGTTGGGTTCATTTGACCTGCCTTTGAGAAAATGAGAGTTGTAATACAAATATATTAAGCATTAAAGTATATTGAAAAAGAAATGTTTTGATTCCTTTATAATTCTGCATTAGAATAGGGGAAAAGTTTAATTTCTTTGAAGTAGAAATTTCATATTCAACAACCTGATTGCCTTCAATTGTTTTTGTAGATTGCTGTTTCTCAAGCACTTTAGTCAAACAATTAAAGGTGATGGAAAATCATGATTACTTTATTCATTAGGCATCACTACTGTGTTCTTTCCCTAGAATAACACCACAAGGGCTGGATTTACAAAATAGTGAAAAGAACAAGCTGCTATTCACATTATAGGATAAGAAATGCAGTGAGAAAAAAGCTTAGCTTATTAAAAAGAAGAAGAAGGAGAAAAAGAAGAAGAATGAAAAAGATACAGAAGATCTGCCAATCTGCATGGTGCATGATTAAAATTCCCCAATACCTAATCCATTCTATTGCATTAAACATTCCTATGTTTCCTTTTAAACTTTAGTGAACACTAGATGGGGTGCAAGTGCACCTTGGGAGGTGGTGGGCCACAGAGGAGACTGTCCTCACCAAGTACCTAGTTGGAGGAGTAGAAAGACAGTGGTAAGAATGGGTAATAACTACCCTAGAGCATTATTATGTTTCTGGCTCTTAGTATGTAGTAAAGACATTACATTAATCATCCTACTAAATGTTCCTACTTCCCACCTAAGATATAATTACAACCCTTTTCCAGATGACTATGGAGAGGCCAGGAAAACAGTGGAAGAGGGGATAGATATCCAATAACTGAGGAAGCCGGCATGCAAACCCAGGATGCTCTTACCTGCAATTTTGCTTCATTTCATTCCTAGGCAAGAGTCTCCAAACTCTTTCTAAATATACTGTGAACTCATAGGGAGCAGAAATAGGACGTTTCATCAATATATCTCAAGCATTTTGGAATGAATGAGAGAATGTGTATGTGAATAAATGACTTACAGAATCAGTTGACTACTTGTGGCCCAATGTGTTTTTAAACAAAGTAACCACTGTGTCATTTTGTGTGGCTGATGTTTTAGGAGAAGGGCTATATGAGATATACAAAGCAAGACAAGGAAATTAAAAGTAGATTGAATTAGAAGAGTGACAAAAATCTAAGGAGAATGATAAAAGTGATTTAAAGATGAGAAAGAAAAAGTCATGTCCAAGTAATTGTCATTGATAAAACCCAAAGTTGAACTGGACCAGACGCAACATAATGCATTTTACCAACAGTCAGTAATAGCTCCTCAAGAACTGTGTTATTAGGCTATTAAGTATGACTAGCAGGGAGGGAAAGGCAGAGGAATGAATGGGTAAAGCACAAAGAATTGTTAAGGCAGTAAAAAATACTGTGTGATACCATAATGATGGATACATGTCATTAAATATATTTGTCCAAACCTACAGAGTGGACAACACCAAAACTGAACTGTAATGGAAACTATAATCTGGGTGATTATAATATGTCAGCATAGCTTTATAAATTATATTTTTGTTATAAATTATATATTTGTTATAAATTATAACAAATGCACTATAGTGAGTGATCCTGATATTGGGGGGGAGGCTATGCATGTGTGAGTGTGGTGGGCATATGGGAATTATGTCGCTTTCTCTCAATTTTGCTGTGAACCTTAAACTTCTCCAAAAAATGAAGTCTTAATAATAAATGTAATAAATAACTAGCATGCCTGTGGGGGTGTATCATACACAGGTCAAGTTCTGAGCCAAAGAAAGGTGTCAGGAATGTCTTCCACCACAGAAACACAATGCTATAAAGAAAGATGATGGAAATGGTTCATACAGTGAAGGACTTCCTGGAAGATAAGCTATGATCCTGCTTCACCAAGTAGGCTCTGGTGTCAGATTTTATAAAATTTTTCATTACTTTAAAACCCTCAAGTGTCTGGGCACATTTGTCTTGGGCAATTTAGTTGTATGCCACACTCAGGAGCTCCCTTTCACATCGCTACTGTTTCAATTTAATTGTCACGATCCTCCCTGGGGAAAAAAAAAAAAAAAAAAACAACACCAAAAACTGGCCTTATCCATTTTTTCAATCTAACCATTTCTCTAGTTTGACCACAAATATTAAAAATTAGAGCTGGGATCTACTATTTAGTAGTGCCCTTCAAAGTGTTGATCTCTGGCCAGGAGAAAGCTTCCATCATTATTCTCTGGCATCTTAGAAACACAAATACTCGACCCTACATAGACTCAAAATCAGAATCTCTAGGTGTGGGCTCAAGATTCTGTGTTTTAACAAAACTCTCAGATAACTATAATTAGTAGGCAAATTTGACAAGATGCTGATATATATATATATATTTTCAAGAATATGTATTATTGCTAGTATATGTAATGATACATATATGCAATTATATATAGTATACATATATATATATAGATAATATACACACACATGTACATATATGTATATTATAGATTACAGTTCAGTGGTGACCAAAGGTGTTAACCTGCATCACAATCACCCGGCAGGCAGGAAGGTTTGTTTAATTAGATTTAACCAGCATTTCTCATATCATGCAACAGGAGAATCCGCACTTCTAATGGTTTCTCAGAGGAAGCTGATTCTTCTGGGAAAAGTACTATTTGTGAGAACTGGCTAAGCTTAACCTTGAGTCAGAGAAAGCTGGGTTTCCATTTTGACTGTTATTTGCTGAATATAGACCATGGGCAAGAGGTTAAAGATCCTCAAGTATTGTTTTATTTGATTATCAAACGAGACAATACTTGTCTGAGAATATGTCACAAGTCAGAAGTTTTGAGGCAGTGTAGGTTTCCTTTCTGTAGCTTAAAAGTAGCTCGTGATTTTGTCATCTAGACTAACAAAAAGATAATTTATAAAAATATCTAACACTTTTAAAAATGTCTAAAACAGTATACAGCACTGAATTAGAAAGTTATCATTAAAACACTGACTTTTCTAGTTGGTGAAAAATTGTGCCTATGATGTTTTTATTTTTTGATAAACTCATTTAGAAAAAGAGAAATTAAATTAAATTTGATCTTTTTGTCAGCTCTTATCAATGATGCATAATTTTATGACATCCTTCGTCAAAGACATAGATGGTATTTATATCATAAAACAGGTTTTTGTTTGTTTGTTTTTAACGTCTACAGCTCTGTATGTTTATACCTGTGTAGGATCACTGATTACCACGTTAGGTTTTACATGAAAACAAATGAAAAGCTGTGTACACACATGGCCAAGTTTAGATAAAAAACAAACATTAGGCTATTTCCAAAATTCAGCTGTCCAGCATTCTATAATCTCAATTAGATTTTTCTCTCTCCATGGACTTTTGAAATTAAGTGCACACTGCAAGTTCATTTGCACCTTTTAATATCTGGATCATTTCAATAGTTTGCAAATTAGAGGAGTTCAACTATTTGCTTTTTACAGTCACAGTTGCCAGAAAGACTGCATATCTACAGAATCCTTCCTCTATAATTCTGAAACACAAGCCTCAATAATAATTAACCTTATTTTAATGGCAACTAAATTGTCATTAAACGATATAACGCTTTAATTAAGAAGATTAACCTGAGGTTACTGAGATAGAACCGTGCCTCTCTTTTGTGCTGAATTGCTAATGATAGGGTATTTTATGAGTTCTGAATCATGCTGAATTAAGTAAAATACAAATATATTTGTTTAGTGTAAGTATTTCATTAGTAAATCTGACCACATTATTTGCTGCACTTTTTAAAAATCTAGTTTCATTTGAAGCACAATTTAGTGTGAACTCTATGAATTACTTCAATGTCTAAAATACTACTTTTTGTAAGTTTATTGCAAAAGTAAGAGCAAATCAAACTAATACAGTTGTTAGTGGAAGGACTAACAAAGTTTTGTTTGTTTGTTTGTTTTTAAACCAGAGTGGAAAATAATGGCTTTCAGAGTTTAAGTAATATATACAAAATGATACTGAAACTTATTCTGAGATCAGGGATGAAGTTCAGACCTTCTTTCTTCGTGTCCTGTTGTCTTAAGTTCCTGTGCAGGGATTCCTATTAAAAACCTTCTGAGGATTTAGAATTCTTTCTCTTGGCTTGGCCGCTACAGTAGCTACCTTTTCTTTGTGTTTAATACTCCTCAGTGGTAGGTCACTGACACACACTAAGGACTTTTACCTTGCATTACATGTCTTTATCTGTGTATCTATGTATCTATTATTTATGTATCTATGTATCCATCAATCCATCCATCATCTATCTATATCTGTCTACCTACATACCTACCTACCTACCTAACATCTATCATCTATCTATTTAATCTCTCTCTCTCTCTCTCTTAGGTATGAGACTAAGAATCATATGTATATCCTACTAAGTCATTAGGAGTAAATGGAGCAGACAGAGCTCCACATATATTTGTTAATTTGACAGGAAGATATTTTGATTCCAGATATGTCTTCAGTTATATAGGTTAACCTTTGGTAGTTTTACAGACAGGGACAGAATTAAAAAATCTGAGTTGTTTCCCTGTTCTTAAAATAACTCTGACTTTTAGGGGCTCTTGAGTAGCTCAGTCGGTTAAGCATCTGACTTCAGCTCAGGTCATGATCTCGCGGTTCATGGGTTCGAGCCCCACATCAGGTTCTGGGCTGACTGCTAGCTCAGAGCCTGGAGCCTGTCTTTGGATTCTGTCACTCCCTCTCTCTTTGACCCTCCCCTGCTCACACTGTCTGTCTCTCTCTCTCTCTGTCTCTCTCTCTCTCAGAAATAAATAAAACATTAAAAAAATTTAAAAAAAACCTCTGACTTTTAGAAAAGGACTTAGCCTTTTAGAGAGCTTAGTTTGTCCATTTGTAAATAGAGGCAATTGTGAAGAAGTCCAAATAAGGGAAAAATAGTGAAAATATCTCTGAAAATATGAAGCATATTATTAGCACACATGATTTGTACAATAGCAAACATTATTATTATTGTATGCCTAGCTTTACTATTGAGAATTATAAAATAATTAATTAAATAATAACTTATTAAAAACAAAACTGTCTAGGTTTATCAGCCCAGTATCTTCAGAATTAAATTTCTCAGATATTTCTATTTGTCTATATGTTTGCCTCAGTCTTTTAAAATTATGAGGCTTGGGAGTGTCCAAGTTCAAACACCAGCAGCCTCTAACTGAGAAGCTAATTTGAAAATGCACCTATTGCGTATGATTCTTAGAGTGAGTCTTACAATTCCCCAGTCCTCTTGGGACATGAATTGCAAAAAAGTTGTTTTTTCCCTAAAGCTGATTTTATTTCCTTTTTTGTAGTGAAAAAACTGAACAGTTGTTCGTGAACATCTTGCTTAGTTGCATATGCTTTTCACAATATGCCACTTCATTTTGTATTTAAATTGTCAGGGGGACTTTCATTACCATAAGTAAATCAAATGATGTGAGAATTAATACATTTGTGAAGTCTTTTCAGTCATTCTCTGGAGGGGAAAAGGTGCAGGTGTTCCATAAAGGAAGAAACTGTCATTCATGAAACACGGCTAAATCTATATTAGAGAAGTGATAAGCTATGTACTTGAAGTATAATAAAAATCTCTTGGTGAATATGATTATTTTGTTGTCAGGCCAAGTTGCCATTTTCTCTTGAGGGGCACAGACTATATACACCTTCTAACTTGTATCCAGAAAAGACCCTAAACATAATATTTCAGAATCATAGAATGAGATTCCTCTCAATTCTCCTGTCTTTCTCAGCTATAGGCCAGTCATTTAATACTACAGTCTATGGGAAGAAGACAAGATTGAAAGAAAGAAACAAACAAACAAAAACCATAAAAATAAAACCACAACAGATGGTACAGAATCGCACTGAAGAAACACTCTTCTTATTTTTGACTATCTTATCCAGCCTCCTTCCTTCCTTCCCTCCTTCCTTCCTTCCTTCCTTCCTTCCTTCCTTCCTTCCTTCCTTCCTTCCTCCCTCATCCTTCTTCCTCCCCTCCCCTCCCCTCCCCTCCCCTCCCCTCCTCTCCCCTCCCCTCTCCTTCCCTTCCCTTCCCTTCCATTTCCTTTCCTCCCTTCTCCACCTTGAGTAATCTGAGTCTGGAAGATGAGAGGAAAATAAAGTCACGCCTACCCTGACCATGCCTTTACTGTAAGTATAGAATAACATGTGTGATAGGTAATCTGTACAATACCTTGCCTAATTAACGTAATGCACAAGTTGAAAGCTGCAAAACATATCATGCTTGGGAAACATAAAGTACAACTCACTAAATGAATGGCTTTAAAATAGCTTCTAAATTGAATAAACAGCTGCCTCTTACCAAATTAAGAGGTGAAATGTGTAAAGTGGAATTTAAAAACTTTCCTATAAAACATCATTACATGATTAATGCATAGAGGGCCTCACCTATGAGCCTTTTTCTTTGTAATATAAACCATGGGGTAAATACACTTTTAAAAATAGACCTTAAGTTATGCCATACAATAGGAACAAAACAGTTACACTCCAGATGTTTTTGCAGCCTGCTCCGTACTTGAAAATAGTTTTGCTCTCTGGGCAAGATTTCCATATTTGCCTCACTCAATAAAACAATTCCATCTATCTTAGCTATGCCTGGTGATGGCTCTACCCCAGCATGTTATAAAGTATGTTCCAGAGTATGCTTTGCCAAAATAATGCTGATGTTAATACTAATACTAATAAATTCTTTATGCTTAGTCTATTCTTTATAGAGATTCTTTATGCTTAGTCTATTCCTTCCTGGAGATACTTTATGCTTAGTCGATTTTTTATGGGAGATTTATAATACACATTATCATATAGTATATTAAATGCTCTAAGAAATCATCTGAGAGAAGTTGAAATTTTTTTTTTAGCTGAGAAATTTCAACTCATTTAACCATGGGACTTTTTCTTCCCTTATAACACCTATTAATGGCTAGAAAATAAAAAATGTTAACAAACAGAATGTACTTCTGGAGACACCTGTGCCCTAGTATCAGTGCTGCCCCTTATTTCTTCTCACCTTCTTTCTAACTGGGAAGGTGGGGGAAAACAAGAATGAGAGCAACAAAGGGGGAAAAATAGAGCAAAAGTGACAGTTCCGAAGCCCTGAATCATCTCTACCTCTTCCTACCAGAACACTGTGTACAGGCTACTGCAACCTCTGAAAAGATCTGACCAGTAGGAAAAGCTGCTTTTTTTCTGCAAAGACAACGTGTTCAGGAACCAAGGATACCATCAATCAAGTCAATGGTGTGGAGAGAGAGAACAAATCAGTGCTTCCATGATGCTTACCTTAGGATATGGATACAGCTTTCCTTTGGGATACAATGCTCCGGTAAATCGAGGAATAACCATGTTAGGCACCAACGAGTCATTTATCATCAGGAAGGCAAGCCTTTCTCCATCTGGTGACCACCAGTGGGCAATGTGAGAATGCAGGAGTTCCTCTAGAATAAATGAGTGTTATTTGAAACCAACTGTAGAGATGTGGGCTCAGTGACCCACAAACATCTGTCCTTGAAATCTCCATTGCAGATATACTTTTTTTTTTTCCTATACGGTGTGTTGGATTTTATCAACATTATGGAGAATTCTTTATTTCTGAATGACCCTTCTAGTCCCAGGGAAAGCAGATGCAGTGGAAAGAAAGAATGAAGCAATGAAGTCAGGATTTCATCAGCAAATGTGAACAGAGAAGATGAAAGCACAAGTAGGACAAAAAGAATAAGAACAGTAAGTGAAGACTGAAATATGGCATCAAACCATGCCCATGTCACCATGCATTCATATTTGCATTCAATCATATTTCCATCATCAATCAAGTTGAATACCCACTAGATTCATGAAATTATTTTGAGCTCTAAGGAAATAGAATAGGAAATACACTGGATATCTTTCATGTGAGCAGATCCACTATTCATTTGTCTATACCTGCTTGCTGGCCCGGTAAGTTAACTTGTATGCACTACAGCCAAAGGGTTGTCATGCCTTCCAGAGCATGGCCATTATGGTACAATGACAAGAGATTAGAAGAAGAGTGAAGTCAGAATATTTACTTCCTTGGCCATATCCTGAAATGTCACTTCAGGCTTGCCATATGTTTTAAATAATGTCACTACTCCTATCAATGCAGTCTTTCCTATGAAATTTTCTCCTTTTGTATCTTGTAATGAATGGTTCATCTCTATGGACATAGGGGTGGTATAATAGCTTGGTTGCTCCTGGTCTAGATTATAGCTCTGTTCTTTAGGGTTTCATTTTGTAAATGTGGTCTCTTTGTGAATAGATCTTCAGGTTACTGAATGTGCCAGCTCTTTTCTTCTGGTCCCTTGACAAATACTGTGAAGAATGCCAGCAATAGACTCAGAAAAGGGACCTTTAAAATTAGGTTTTGAGATTAAGTTGGAGATCTATATCTGTACCTACCTCTATATATCTATATCTATACCCATCTATATCTGCACTACCTTTGATGTAATAATCACCTTTCCAGGAGAGAAATGGAGTATAAATAATCCAGAGCAAAGGATGGAATCATGAGTAATCGATTGTCACTGGTGATGATGCAGAGTGAAATGCAGATGGAGAGGAAAGGTTTGGGGAGGATAATTGGTGGTGGCACTTAATTGCTACAACAATGGCAGCTCTAAAGACTATAAAATGAAGTTCACAAAGTTCATATGACACCTCATGGAGATTACATAGAAATAAACTGAAACCATGTATGCAAAACCAAGAATACAAAAAAGATCATCGAGACATCTTTGAAGGAGTCCCTCTCTTCTGTAATTGCAGATAGGTAAGGCAGAGGTCCAAGGGTACATAGTAAGGGTTGTAGAGCTACAACACAACTTAGGGACTCAACTCCAGTTGTTGTTTTTTTTTTAAAGCTAAGAAGTCCTGGGACCTTGGCACATAGGATAGAGATGCTTGGGTAAACATGTGCAGGATACTTATGCTTTCTGGATCAGTCTCATAAACAAAACATTTTATAGTGGAATGTTGCTATATGTGTCTAAGTTTATGGCTGAAGATGCTGAACCTCAAAATTCCCACAAGTCTTCTTGCTGACAGAGGCAGCCTCTATCCAAGGGAGGTAGATGTCCTCTGCAAAAAGGCAGAGTGAGATAAACCCCTGTAATGTTTATGAGTTCTATATCCCTAGGGGAGAATTTGGAGATCTGGTAGCATAGTATACACTGAGATATCTCTTCTAAAGCAAGAGAAAATTTGTTGGAATTGTACTCCTGCAAAAGTGAAGAGGGAACAGATTCTTCAGATTCTGAAGGAACAACTTAAACCATATTCACATATGCTGCCCCATTCTACTTTCTAGACAACCTGTGAAGCTGCCCATTCTGAGCAGAGTCTGTGCAAGAAAGGGCTATGCGGCAGATCAAGGCCATGGTACAATCCTTTCTACCATCTTTACCTTGTGACCCAGCAGATACAATGCTAATATGAATCTTCATGGTAAACAGAGATGCTGTGCAGACCTTCTGAAACTCACCATATGGCAATCAAAATGGGCATTGCAAGCTTTAGGAAAGGCCATTTCCTCCTGTGCGGATTAATGTTCTCTATTTCAAAAGCAGATCTCTACTGGGATCTTGCAGAAACAATTAGCCTGACCACAGGATACCAGGTATCTATGCAACCCAGATTGCCCATCATGAACTGAATGTTATCTGATTCAGTGACCATAAAACTAAACACATAGAGCAACATCCCACTATAAAATAGAAGGGGTATCTATGGGACTGGGACAGAACACATAAGTAAAATACCCAGAGTGTTGTATCCTGTGCTTTACTCTCTCTCCTTCAGCTCATATCAAAACCTCGAGATGGGTTTTCTTTTTTTTTTTTTAACTGTTTTTAATGTTTTTATTTATTTCTAGGGGAGAGAGAGAGAGAGACAGCGTGAGCAGGGGAGGGTCAGAGAGAGAAGGAATATCACAGACTCCGAAATAGGCTCCAGGCTCTGAGCTGGCAGTCAGCACAGAGCCTGATGCAGGGCTTGAACCCACGAACCGCGAGATCATGACCTAAGCAAAAGTCAGACGCTTAAGCGACTAAGCCACCCAGGCGCCCCTCAAGATGGGTTTTCTAATACGCATTGGCGGGGGAGAAATAAATGCAGGCCTGGTTTATGGGCAGGTTTGTATGATGTACTCGAAGACTGTGGAGTTGGTAGGCTCTGTCCTACAGTCTGACTGAAGTTGGCATTAAAAGACCAAACTAAACATAAATCCTTCCAGTTGGCAGACTTTTGAACAAGATACTTAGTTTTCTACCCTTTTGTGGAAGGTGAATTAGCTTGAAGCATGGATCCACCCTGACTCATCCACAGTAACAAATAAAGGGCCTGATCAGAGTTACGAGAAGACTAAAATTAGAAAATTAGTGACAAGGAAATGTAGGGAAAGATAACTGCATTGACATCTCAGAAAAGGTGAGATGTCATTGTTACATTGAACATATAACAATGTGAAGATCGTAGTGTCCTACTTAATATCCACCAGAACACATCTATTGCAGAGCAGGCTGTCAATAATCAGATGGGTGATATGGCTACCAAGTACAGGTCAGTTCGGCTTGGGTTCCTACCATTACCTGCCAACAAGAGGAGCTGTCATTAAACTCTTCATATGGCATTATTTCCCAGCAGGACCAGCTGGCTACCTGGTGGCAGGTAGAGCACATGGGAGCCATTCCATTAAGATGGGGTAGCATTTTATCATTACAAAGACAGACACGTGCTCTGGGTTAGATACGCCTTGGCTGCCTGAAGTCCTGTCAGCACTGCTATTCATGGACCTACAGAATAGCGTACCCATTATCACAATAGTTCACCCACATCACCACTAAAGAGAAAAGATTTTATAGCAAAAAGAAGGGCAATATACTCAGACCATAAAATTCTCTGTTCTCCATTAGCTATATGTACCTGGCTTGATGAAAGTGTGAACTAGTCTTCTCTCACTTGGTTTTGGCCCTATAACAACCTTAATGTTAGGATGTCATCATACAGTATGTACGTGTCCCTCTTTCAAAGCCAGGAAGCACACATCTAGGAACTAGGGGGTAGAAGGGGAGCCCTCTCTTTCACTATCACACCATTAACCCACTAGATATATTTTGTTTCTTGTCTTCATGATAAGGAGGTCAGTGGGTTTAGACATTCAAATGCCTAAGGGGGTACTGCTTCTAACAGCGAGTGTCCTAATTATGCTCCTCTGAATTGGAAGCTAAAATCTCCCCCTGATCATTTGGGGCTCAATAGGCCTGGATAAAAACTGACAGAATACAGGCAGTGTGTGTCTGTCTGGTAATTAATCTTATCTGCCAGGAAAAATATATATGTCTTTATTATATGAAGGAGAGGAAAGAAGAGTATATCTGGACTCAGGAGATTCACGGATACTCCTTTGTTCAAGTCTACCCATTTTCCAATTCTACATTTCCACATTCCAATTTCCATTTCAATGGAAAACTGAAATTGTAGCAACCTAATTAAGAAAAAGAAGCAAAGAAATAAGATTTGGCAGGGATAAAATTTTGGTTTGATCTACTATGGTAAATAACCTATGTAGTCAAAATGCTGGCAAAGACTAAAGGGAAAAAGGAATGGTTGACTGACAAAGGAGCTATGATTACTAGTTACGGCCTTGTTTAATGGGTGCAATTCCCCCTGAAACTTTATATGAAAAACACGAGTGTTGGCTGTGGTTATAAATTTCTGACAGGAATATAAACTGGACCAATACTGCTCTACAATGAAACAGTGGCAGATGGAAGGAACTTCATGTGTTCTTTCAAGGATGCAAAGATTTTATTTAAGTAATAATAATACCATCTTGATCTTTGAGTTTTTGTTGGCCATGGCCAAGATGAAACCAAACAAATCAAATGAGGGAAATAAAGTTGGTGCATGATACTTATTTTCTTGGTTCTCACCCATTGGAATCCTGTTAGTGAGGCTATGTTTCCTAATAAAAACTTACTGCTTCTGCAAAAACTATAGGATTCCTTGTTTGTAGGTTCTAGTAACAGCTTACTTACCATTCCCACTTCAAGTGTTAATGACTAAATCATTACTAGTCATAGGTTGCTACATATCCCTTGTCTTTGATAAGTGATCCCTTCATAGGTAAAAATGTTAATACTATTTTGAATGTGCCATTGTTTCCAGTTGTAATCCTGACACTGATTTGTACAAGCTACTGAAAATCCCTATGAGGAGACCCATTCACCAGACACACTGAGAAAAAAAAAGAAATTTACACTGGACAAATGGGTGTAAATTATTATGAGACTTATAGGTACAGAGGTATCGGATCGCATGGCCTAAAATCAACACTCAGAATTTCTAAGAGGTGGGTTCTATCCTAGCTGTAAATGTATATGCACAAGTACTTCCCAAGAATAATAATGGCGCAGATTTG